TTTTTTTTATTGTTATTATTCCTAATTTTTTAAAAAATATAGTAGATAAATACTAACATTCATTTATATTTATATAAGTGAGATATATACATTAGACATAAAGGTATAGACACTCATACCAATACATATATGCATTTTTCATACACAGGATTTAACCTTATTTTTTAGGTAAAGATAAAATACCTACCAATACAATTTAAGTGCCTACAAATATTTAGATATACCAATGCAAGTTAAATACCCCGAATGTGTTAAATGTTCTCATACCCTGATGCTCACCATAGTTGCAAACGCTCGGCAAGAACGTAAGGGGTGCTAAAAACAAAAAATGTCAGTTGCCTGAGCAAAGAAGGAACTTCAAGTGTCAATTGCATAACAAGTATAAGGGAAAAAAATATATATATATATAATATTTAATAAGATGTGCTATTCAAGTTTAATTATATTTCAATTCAGTCAAAGATATATTATATTTTAAAAAAATAAAAATAAAATAGATTATTATGTTAGAATTTAAAACTTCATAAGGTATTATTATTTTAAAATCAAATCCTAATAAATAAAATACAATAGTAAATCTTGCTATTACTCCTTGGCAATAGTTTTGGCCACACTTAAAAAATGTGAGGGCCACACAATTTTTTGAATTTCATATTTTAAAATATTGATTTAATTTAATTATATTGTTAAAATAATTAATAATTATAATTATTAATTAATAAATAATAAATTTATTAACATTTATTATTTAATATATTAAAATTAATCTATAAATTAATACTTTTAAATACTATAATTAATTATTTATAAAAAAAATAACAATTTTTGTGTGACTAACAAATTTTTCTATTTTTTTAACGTGACTATAACCATACCTCTCTCCTTTGGATATACTTTTCTTTTCAGCTTAACAAACAAAAACCTTAACAGGATATGAGAAAAGAAAAGAAAAGAGGTCGGAGAAGTAAATTTTGCAGACTTTTATTGAGTCTACCAACACTTTGACCTTTGATTGTAGAGTATCATCTTAAGATATCGCTGAATTAATTATTTAGATATAATTAAAAATTAAAAATTAAAAATTAAAAATTAAATATTAAAAATTAAATATTTATCAAAAAATAATTAATAATTAATATTTAATAATTATTAATTATAATATTTAATTTATAATATTTAATTTATGAATTTTTTTAATATATTTTTTTTAGGATACAAGTTAAATATATAATTATTACACATTTTCTTATTAATTATTGTTAAAAAATAAAAATTAATATCTATTTAAGTAATTATTTAATTAAAATAATTTATGTGGTGTCAGTGATGAAATCAATGGCAATTTTTGTATTTTTTTAATAATAATTAATTCAAAAAAGTATAATAATTATATTCTTAAAGTACAAATTAGATGAATATCTAATCTATTTAATTAAAATTAATAATTAATAATTATTAATAAAAACTAAAACCAATATCTTCTTAGCTTTTTTATTAAGATTGTTTAATTAAAGATATTTAAATAATTTAAATAATTTTATAAATATATAAAAGTAATTTTT